AGTAATGCAGCCAGACTTATAATGATTACATTTCCGCTTCTGTCCTCTCCACTATTTCCCTCTAGAATTGGTCTCCTTAACCAGTTTGCCCTGGGTAGCAGCTGCCTCTCTTGTGGCTCCTATGTCTTAACATCTATATTTGTGATGAATTTAACTCAGCCATTGGGAGCACCAGTTTTAACAAATGCAGCCAATTAAGATATTTTGTTGAGTAGATGAAATTTTGCATTATTTTTCTCTCTTGTAGATGTATTAAAAAACAATTTTTTTTCGTTGTTGTTGTCGTCGTGGAGTTAGGCACATAACTGGCTTATTGTTGTAAATGTCTCTCCTCCAGTAAGGTCACAACCCCTGGAGAGTGCTTGAAATCTCACCTATTAGAACATCATACTCTGGCTTGTGGTTTTGAATCTTACTAAGCCCCATCTTTCTCTGGGGTATTTATTACAGGTGGGATGCCTAACTATTTTCTGAGATCAACTAATAAAGGAGGTAGGGATGGAGAGTCAAGTTATTATTTCTGTATATTATCTTTAACCCTTTACCCTAAAGATGAGATTAGTTTCTAACTAAAGAAAACACTAGAAATCATTCTCAAGAAATACTTAGAAATGGCCTTCTTCATCTTTTTCAAGGAGGAAGGTCTACTATCCCTTCATTTGGAATGTAACTATGTAATAAACATATCTTGATTTTTTATTTTAAAAATCGACTTGGTAGTGTGAGAAGTGCACATTTTCAAATGAAAATGGGAAAAAGTTTCTGTTTTGTTAATCAGATTACAGAACAAGGAGTATCTAGCTATGTATCCGTTACGAGTTAAGACTGAAAGGTGGATCATAATTGTAAACGTGAGTGTCTAGATGGTAAAACTGTTGTTGTTGGTATATGCCGTTGAGTCGCTTGAGGATCATAGCGACCTTATGTACTACCACAGCCCTAAACTCTGCTTTGTTCTGTGCCATTCGCACTGCCCCCGACACACCCATCCCATTCCACCAGTCATTGAATCAATCCACCTCATAGAGGGCCTTACCCTCCTGCTCCGTCCCTCCACCCTCTCAAGCATGATGTCCCTCTCCAAGGACCGGCCCCTCCTTACTATAATGATTTTTTTCACCTCTACTTTCCTAAGGGAGCTCTAGTGACTTAGTGGTACATGGTTGGGCTGCCAACTCAAAGGAACATGATTCGAATCCACCCAACATCTCCAAAGACAGAGACCATGGTACTTACTCGTCAGACATATGAATATATGACAGATTTAAATGTAAATTTGGAGAGGAGATGTAAGTGATGAATTAGTAAGTCAGGGAATGAATAAAAAACATACAGCTAATTCTTAGTGTTTGTACATATCATTGTCTTTTGCTATATTTTCTTTTCCTCTTGTACTGTAGAAGAACAGAGTGCTTTGCGTTTTTTGGTTAAGGCATTGCAACATTGATTAATCCTGTAATCCATCAAGTGACAAGAGATTGGTCATATTAAGTTACTAAAGAGATC